AATAAAGAAATACATTAGTAAGTTTATTAACGAGTATAGTTTTAAACTTAACTTTAAACTTAATTAATATTATAATTACTATACTATTGTTGTTGTATATATATATATATATATATATATATAGATCAAGTAAGCATGCTATATTTACCTGTTTCGTAATGTTGCTTTGTTTTTTAGCTAATGCACTTAATTGAACAGATTTTCATGAGGCCATTACACACTTTAGTGTTTTGAAATGTAATACAGAAAACCTCTTTGCTACTTAAATACTGGTTGAAAGAAGTGCATATGAAGAGATTGTGATAAGGTAGTGTTTATATTAATTATCTCATTGTTTTTGGTTTTTTTTGCCAAGAATGAAAATTACAATTGTTATTTTACCTTGCACATTATATTGTATGGTGTTTGGTTGACATTGTGTTTGGATGAAACAAAGGTATTTTTAAAATTCTCGTTTTGAAAGTTAATAAATCACATTTACATTCAACTTCTTGTACAAAAGTATTACATTAATACAAACAAACCTCCATTTTTGCATAAGCCTGTATAGTAGTAAACATTTTAGAAACAAAGCTTACCTTAATCAAAAAATGTGTTATAAATGTCTCATTAAAGTTTATTTTAAAACATGTAAATGCTTTGGAAATTTACTTAATGACTCTGAACAACAGACTTTTAAAGAAAAGCAGTAAAATGTTATCTACAAAGTTATTTATAAAACAGATTTGAAAAGAAAAACCTTATCTACAAAGTTCTCCATCAAGCAACAGACATTAACAAATGCTTAGTAGTAGTTTAGTTTCACTCTTTATAAAAAGTCATTAGTACTAGAATCTTTAGTTCTGGATTTAAATTTATAATGGCCAATGTCTCTCAAATTCATAAAACATAATCATTTTCTGCAGTTCTGATAATTTCAAATTGCTCAATAGTTACAGGATTGTCACTATAAGCTAGCACGTTTGGGAATGTTTGATAAGTCCACATACTTCGGTAAACTATGCTCTTTTACTTTATCTGCCAGTCTTCATGTAGTAGATCGTACATACATAGAACACTGGAAGCATTTAATGTTTGAGCATTTTGGTTTGCTTATTTTGTTTTTAAGCTCAAAAAAGTTCTTTATTCTGACAGATGGGTTTAAGGATGACTCACATTCTACTTGCAGATAAACAAAATCGTTAGATATTTTTTGGTGCATTATATGCCTCTTCTTTATGGGTGGAAGCTATCTTGATGTACTTGTTGATTATGCTAGCTATTACTTTTGTGGGAAAATCATTCTTGCTTAAGTAACATTTAATTTTATCTATTTCTTTTTCCATAGTTTTTTTTATATTACTTGTAAATTTATGAACTATGTGTACTAAAATTCAAATCATATTTTCTTTTAATTTCTTTTGTGTGAAACTATTGTAACTAAAATATAAACTGAGAACGTAGGTTTATGATAAATTCCAATTTCAAACCTTCCACTTTTTTTATTGACCAGGGTGTCTGGGAACAGTAGATAAGTCTCTCTCTCTCTCTCTACCCCCACCTTGAATTTAATTTTCCATGTTCTTTATTCAGATATTCAAGGAACTTTTTCCCCTACTATTCATTCTCAAATGCATTAAAATTATCATCCCCATATCATTTACATGAGAATGATTTAAATTTTGGGGCATTCTTTTAACCAAATATTTTCATGATAACACATAAATAAATTTTGGGGCAAACTAGACCCCAACCTAACTCCATTTATTTGATAACATACCTTTTCATTAAACAAGAAATGTGATATTTTAGTTGTTCTTTCACATAATTTATAAAATACTTCTTTGGGTAAACCATTAAAACTACCTTCAGTATTATAAATTACGTTTACACATAATTCAGTGGTCTCATCCAATGGTATATTACTAAATAATGATTCCATATCAAAGCTACTATTTACCACATCATGATCAAAATATAATTATTTAATGTTGTCAAAAACTGCTAGCGTATGGTAATAACATCCAATATTACATATGATAGAATTCCTAGGACAATTTAGTTTATGTATTTTTGGTATTCCATACAAAATGCCAGCATGTGAATCAGTTAGTCTTATTTCCTTATATAACTGTTCATTTATAATATTATCTTTTTTTAACTTCAATAATCGGCTACTCAACTTATTTCCTCTAGATATAGTTGGGTGTTTTTCAAAAATGCAAAAATTACTAATATTATTTATGATTTCAAGAACCTTATTGTAATAATATTTGTTTAAGATGACAACCTTATTCCCTGTATTAGGCTTAATGATTACAGTATCTTCTAGTAGTAGATCCTATATATATTCTAAAACACCAAAGCATTTATTTGTACATGTAGCTGGCGTTTGAGCATTATGATTTGTCTGTTCTGTCTTTAAACTCAAAATAGTTCCTTATTTTGACAGATGGGTTGAAGGATGACTCACGTTCTACTTACAGATAAACGTTGCACAGTGAAGTACTTCTAGGAAACTAATATTCCATGGCGTAGCATTAAAATTATACACAATAAGCCATTGAAACCTTATACCAGAAATATGTGTGCATACATTATTAAAATATATCTGTGCTATTGGACTAATTGCAGAATTATTGAGACCCTTTAACAAAAGCTCGTATCCAAACTCCCATTTTTGTTGGTGAGAGCAAATCTTAATCGTGAGACAATATCTTCTTTTCGATATACTTAAAAGTATAGTTTGATAGGTATATAATAATTTAGATTTTTTTTAAATTTAAATATTTCTTATTCTGTGTCAATCATACTTTCAACAATTTATCGTTATTTCTTAAAATTTCATTAATCAAGAAGAAAAGATCTACAGCTATAATCCCGTTCTTTAACTATAATTTTTCTTCATCTAGAAGTATTTCTAATTTTTTTTACATTTCTTTCTTCATGTTTAATTTCAGCTGCAGAAATTATTTTGGGTTTCTTTATATTACTTTTAACTCTTTTAATCTAAAGGTGGCAGTCATAAAATTTAAGAATTTTGGGATTAATTCGTATACTTTAGACTTATTAAAATATATTAGCTTACATTTATTTAACAGTATTTTCACTTATTTTTCTTTTTACCCAATTTTCAATTTAAAATAAAAACTTAACTTTCATATTCCAAATCTTACTATAATGTTCAATTGCATGTCTTCTTTGAGCCCTATATTCGAATCTATGAAATCAGAATTAATTGTTATAATAATTTTTTATTATTAAAATATCTATAGCATGTAATCAAAACGTTCTAGTTACATAATCTATTTTCAAATCCATGTAAAAGTCAAACTCTACTAGGTTTTTGTAATTTCTGAAATACTAAAAGATGGGTTAATTGCTTTATATCATCTACATATTTTTTATTAACTGCATCTTTGTCTGCATTCAGTACTATTAAATTTGTTGTATAATTTTAATTGAATCAAATTTTTTATCTTTATCCTGTATTAATGAATTATTTTCCCAATTTTATAATTTTCTTGCAGTTTCAGCGCTATGTTAAAGTTATTAATATTATCACTTGACTCTTAGGAATTTCTTTCTGATTCACATATATATGTTTGTAATGTCACAAGAAATCTTCAACTCGGTTAATATTTTTATCAACTCAGTTTTTGTTGACTGTGTCTGTTTCGTCTGTCGGTTCCTTTATATTTTTATACTTTTGCTATCAACATAAAAATATCATTGACTGATAACAATCCTTTAGGGAAAACATAAAACTGTTTTTATTTCTATTAAGAAAATTCTCAGAGTTTCATCATCAAGTTTGGTTTTACTATAAACATAGGTCCATGGTTAATATATCCTCCCAGTGTAAAAGACAGTAGAGCATCCTTTAATGTATTTTAATTCACTTTGAAATTTACTAATATTTTCCATTTGTGTATGCTGGTCTTCTCTCAACTGTTGGAGGCTTTCTTCCAGTTTCTTTTCTTGTTCCAGTTGCCACTGGAGCTGGTTTTCTTGCCACTGCTGTAGTCTCTCTTCTTGTTTATTTTCTTTCTCCTCCAACTACTGCTGTAATCTCTCTTCTTGTTTCCTTTCTTTTTCCTCCAACCACTGCTGTAGTCTCTCTTCTTGTTAATTTTCCCGTTAATCTTGTTTCCTTTCTTTTTCCTCCAACCACTGCTGTAGTCTCTCTTCTTGTTAATTTTCCCGTTCATCTTGTTCCCTTTCTTTTTCCTCCAACCACTGCTGTAGTCTCTCTTCTTGTTAATTTTCCCGTTCATCTTGTTTCCTTTCTTTTTCCTCCAACCACTGCTGTATTCTCTCTTCTTGTTTATTTTCTCGTTCTTCTTATTTCCTTTATTTTTCCTCCAACCACTGCTGTAGACTCTTTTCTTGTTTCTTTTCTCGTTCTTCTTGTTTCTTTTCTTTTTACTCCAACAAATGCTGTAGACTCTTTTCTTGTTTCTTTTCTCGTTCTTCTTGTTTCTTTTCTTTTTACTCCAACAAATGCTGTAATCTCTTTTGTTTAATTTGCTCTTCGAGCTGCCACTGCTGTTGTCTCTCTTCTTGTTTCTTTTCTTTCTCCTCCGACCACTGCTGTAGTCTTCTTTTTTTTTTTTGTTTATTTTCTCGTTCATCTTGCTTCTTTTGCTGTTCTTGTACTGCTGCCATCAAATCTGCTAAGTCGTAGTTTGATTTGCCACTTCTCGTTTCCATCTTTGTTGTTTTTTTATTTCCATCCCACTCTCTGACACCAATTTGTTGCGTATCTGCTTGTTTGCTAATTTCCGGTAGAAATTCTTTCCGAGAAACTTCATAGATACAAATCCTTTCTTGATTAAACCAGTTTATTCTTCCTCGATACAAACTTTTAGTACACAGTAATTCCACAATCAATATGTTCGTGTCATTTTAAACTTAAC